GTGTGCTGCATCAGTGTTTGCTCTAAACGGTTGAAAGATTCTGAATCTTTTCATCACACAAATGGTTGGGCATCAAGCCAAATTTGTCTATGAAACCAGTTGTATGGCTGTCGTTTGTCGAAAGGGAGTATTCTATTGCACCGACAAAATTAGGCATCGCATCTGGAACCGACTTATCAGCATAACAGGTTGAGTTGTTGCGCTGCTACAGGGTTGTGGTCTTAAGCATTTGATCTTGGCCATTGCGAATGAATTTTCGCAATGGCCAAGTGCGTAAAGACTGGGACGCAAAGTGCAAAAACACTAGGTTATTGCGTTTAAATGCCCGTTAAACAGCTGTCGTTGGTAAAAATCAATCCAGGGCTTGGCACTACAGCGGTATAATCTGACAAAATTTATTACCATCATCGAAGGTTGCATGAGTTTGTGTCTGATGTACTGTGACAAATTCTTATAAACTGCACAGCAGTAAAGGACAAACGGAAAGACAGAGGCAAATGAATGCCGTTATTACTTACTGTGTCATTAGCATGTGCAAGTGCTGTTGCTCTTGTTGTGATGTGCAGGCCTAAGTTAACGCATATAGCTTGAGAGCCTTATTTCCGGCTCGTTTTCCTAGTGCGGAGCGCCTTAGGGGCCGGGCGGTCGTATGCTGCTGTCGTTTGGCTTAACGCAGGTACAAACAAGCATAACAATCGAAAAAAAGAAAGAAAATGAGAATTCTTTACACAAGGGAAGAAGAAACGTTGGAATATAAGTAAAAATAAATAGATGGGAAAAGGTAAAATGAAGAACAAACCGGAAAATGCAGAAATAAACAGAGGAACATATAAATAGAACATGGAAGAGAAACAAATGAGGTGTCCCAGCTGTGCTCTTCTATGAAGCTTGCCGCCACTGATGCGAAGCTGCCTTAATTTGTCCTTTGTTTCTATCTCACATGCTCCCCCTGTTTCCTATTGTTGTGCAGGACAGCAATGTGGCAATCCGCGTCTGGTTAAGCTCGTTACCATTTTGTTTCGTCTAACCCTTTCTCACTCTGAGAGACGAAGCTAATAGTTAAAAATAGGTTCTGGTGTCATGCTCTGACCCGAGTGCCACGCCAACCACGAGTGGTCGCTTCGCATCTTAGCTGACGAGCAGGCTCGATGATTGCGGTGAATGCCACAACAACTGGAAGCATATACACGCTCAACATTGCACATATGTTCGTTGGAAGCTCGCAATAGTGAACCCCACAAAAGAGAAAATGTCACCAGCTCGTTGTTTCCTAATTACACTCGCCTTCATTGAGAAGATACACAGCAATTATTTTGCCGTATCAGCTGCAGTTCAAACAAAGAAATTCGTGCACCTCCACGAAGAAAAGGTTAACGAGTGGGCGAATCTCTGCGTATAGTATCAATGAGCAACTTTATGCTACTGCGCCATTCAAGGTGAATCGAGTGACATAAATTGACGTGAAGAATTGACGACAAAGCTAGGTGCCAAGGTTCATAACGTCTACGTTAAGGTCACCGGCTCCTTTAAATGGTTTGTGCTTGTAGGTGCTTCATGTTGTTCACTCACAGTTATGATTGATATTGTTTATTGCATACCTGCATCGCCCCAGTGTGCATTACACCAAAAGGCTCACATACAAAAAATATACCAAGTGGACACACACAAAGCGCGGTAAAAGACATAATTGTGCAAAATGTTCACAATATCAAGAGAAAGAGCTTTCGATTTTCTTATGGTTAGTGAAACAAAAAAATACGCAAAGAAGACCCCTTAAAAAACGATTCGCGGACTTTTAGTGCATGGTCCTGCCTCTACGACACAAAAGTGGACAATTTAAAATATATTTCTTGCTCAAAGTGGTTTTAATATTGTTTAAAGCGTAGAAAAATTCAATGATGGTTTTTCTGCCGATCTTGGAAATGCCACCATGATAATATACGTTTGTTTTCTAACATGCCTAATGTCCTTTAATGTTGATTACAAATCAAACCATCTTATTTATCACCCTTTAAAGCTGCTCTGTGAGATCACCTATGTGCAAATTCCAAGAAACTCAACCGTATTCAAGTATGTTAAGGTCAACGTTTTTTTTTACTGTGTTGTAGAAGTTTTACTTTTTCTTTGTGTGATTATTTCAAGTACTGCACTGCTTGTTTTCACAATGCTTTATTATGCATTATATGTCTTCTGCAGTTGTGGTTTTCTAACTAGCCAATGGCTATGGGCCCACATAGTTTGTGCAAGCATTATGAAACAAGTGCGAGCCATTATATTCCCAGTTCAATCCAAATGCATTGAACATACATAAAATACTGCTGCCCTTTCAATTTCTGCGGTAACTGACTGAAATTACGGTGAAGAAAAGCCAGCGAATGCATTCCTTTATTACAAATGTGCCGAATGTGTCTATTCTATATTAAATCAAATGCTATAAAATACCTAGATTTTTAGATTCTTTACTTTTATTAGGATGGTATTCTTCAGAGAAATGTGCAAGCCCTAAACATGCTTTTCCTTGAAAAGTTAGCGTGAACGCGTATTTGAAAATTTAGAACTGTTTTCTATTTATCGCACCCTGGTTTCTTAGTAAATAAATAAGCCTGCAGTAAAGTAGTACCACTCTATGCCTAGCTGTGCAAATGACACTCATCCACAAACATTCCAAATGAGTATTTCGCGTCATATACAATATTCATATAACAAGCAAAAGCAACAGGAACCGAGAACTGATCTCAGTGTAACACCTGTAGTTACTGAATCATATATGCAGAAGAGAAACCATTGAGCACCACATGTCACCTTGCACGAAAATATTCGTCAACCCATGCGACAACGCTATTATCTAACTTGTATTCTTCCAGTTTTGAAGCAAGAAGACCGTGCGAAACTGCATCAAATGCTTTTTAATTGAAGAATATGCAGTCTATTAATTGCCTTTTACCTAGCGTTGACGTCAGGTTGCGAAAAAAATTTTAATTACTTGGTTACACCTTTAAAAACCTTGTGTAAACGCTCTTACTAGAGCTTAGAAGGTGTCTTTACATAAATTTGACATGATCGAAGTACAAATCACGTGCTCAATACTTTACATGTTACACTTGTCAAGGAATCTGGCCTGTAGGTCTCAGCGGCATTTCTCCATCCACATTTATGAATGAGTACAACACGTGTCAGTTCCAATAGTGTGATAACGAAGCCACAGATCAGCATTTTTGTAATAAACAAGCAAAGCGAGGAGACAATAGACCGGTTACAATTTTTAAGAATAACGGCAGGAACATCATGCGGACCGCATGCTGTGGGTGGATTCATTTTCTCTAATAACTTATGCAAACCATATAAAACAAGTTCAACCTGAGGCATTATATTAACGTCAACCTGACAAGTGAAATTAACAATTCAGAGAATTATAGCTGGAACACTCATGAGAAAAATATAATAAATTGTTTTACTTTATCTTTATCATCGCCAACTGTGTCCATCACCATTGTTGAGTTTTTTTGGGTCTCACATATGTTTCTACAATACTGTAGGGGACAGGAACGTTGCATCATGTAATGTGAATTGAGTGACATAGAGTTACGTAAAGAGCCGAAAACAAATATCGCTGCTAAGGTCCATAATGTCTACGTTGAGACGGCCGATTCGTAATAAGAGTTTTTGCTTGTACGTGTTTGTTCTGTCACACCTGCAATTTACATTAGTCACTGTTAATTTTTTTGTCTCACATGTTTTGACTATACTGTGCGTTACACGAGCGTTGTCCCGTGTAATATAAATTCAGGGACAAAGTGACGTAAAGAGTCGACACCGAAGCTCGGTGCTAAGGTCCATAATGTCTAGCTTGACGCTACCGACTCGTAGACAGGGTTTGTGTTTGTAGGTGTTTTATACTGTTCAGTCACAAGTATCATTTATGTAATTTATTGTTAAACTTGTTTTTGTGTCTCACATTACCGTTAATTATCTGAGTGTTGGCTCATATAGTGTAGCCGTGACAAAAAAAAAACACTGGACAAGACTCGACGCTAAAATTTTTCAACACGAAATGCTAGAGCTAATCTTCCAGGAATTCACTGTCGTTTATGTGCACACAAGCTTATCATACAAATATTTTTGTGCTACTTATGCCAGAATGTGCACCTGAATTGATTGAAACGTGCTCTACGTAGGGGACCTTGTGAGCTTTGGCTGTCAGGACAAGGCAGGTAGCTAGCGCCGATTTCGGATTGAAGCAGGCCATCGCCACTGCATTAGTGCTGCTATAATGGTTCATCAGCACGATTATCAGCATTAATAATACAATGATTAATTGCTTATGACAGACAAGTGAATCATAGTTTGCGTGTGGTATATTGCCTTGATGTGACACGTCACATCAAGGCAATCAAGGCATTGGCCAGACAAAGTTTTTGTTTTAAACATCCGCAAATGTAATGCCTTTACGAACAGAACTACGATCTGCTGTGCCAGCATGGGGTTTGTTTACCTCTCGGTTAGTTTACCTTCCATGTTGCTGTAACCTGCTTTTGAGGTGGAGCATAAGTTAAACAAAAATGAATCCGCGTGTTCTGCCTTTCAAATTTATCAAGGGTAATGTTTCTTTCGTAAAGTATTCCTACAGGGGTGTCTTGCTTAACCTAATAGCATGGAAAGAATGGAACAGATTTTTGCAGCGTACACGTATTCAGCGATTTCCTGGCTACGGAACTTTGTCAGTAAAGCATTTTTGTTCATTCGGTATTACTCTATTTCCAGTAGTGACGAGCTTTCTCTATGGCTTAGCAAGTTTGCGTAAACCAAGGTACTTTCTTTATCGTATCTACGTTGCAATGTTATTCTTTCCAAACTTACCACTCTCCTTTGGCCCATCTGCCAGTTAATTCGCAAAACTGCCATCAAAGTTATGTGCCGTTGTCCTAAATACTTGTTGCTAACTTTCGTTAACAATGAATCTCGTTAACTTTTGTGTGACTTTGTTCTTTCGTTTGTTTCAGATATCCATTCTTAAGAGCAGTCATTGCAGGTGGTAACCAAAAAGCACCGTAAGTATCCACGGACGTATACGACCCACTATTTTCTGGTCGTCATTTTCACAAGTATTCTATGCTCTTTCTGAGATAACAGCGGTTCTTGATGTGTGGTGTCCTTGCTAGGTTAGTGTTTTATGGCAGTTTTCTTCAATGAAAACACGTGAAGCACACTCAAACGTTTGGCCTTGCCCTCTTATTTTTATACGGATTTCGTACATCACGTCGAATGTTTATTACAAAAACACGTTATATACTAGGCCGCCATTTATGTCACCTTACGTCTCAAGTCTGACAGGATTACATATACGACGTATTCTATTACAGCGACCTTTCTTGGCAGAGAGAAATATAGAAGTGGTTTAAGTGACCCAATGGTTAGCGAACTCACTTATGAGTCGACTCTCTGGGACGCACTGATACTCAGATCAAGCCATGCGTCTGAGTCGGAGTGGGTACGGCTGAGTAATATTTTGGTGAGTTCTAGTGTGACCGAGTTCTGTTAAAAAACTTTTCGCCTATGCCTGAGTCCGAGTAAGTCCAAACCGCAAAATAAATATCTTATGAGTGAGTCTGAGTGAGTTTTATATATTTTTGCCGGCCTGTGAGATTATCTACTCATCTTTAGAACTACTATCAGCGATACCTGGAATCATGTTTATACTTTCTTGGGAAGTATTTATTTAGGGGTATAGAGTCACATCTATATATAGGGCCACATATATATAGGGTATATAGGCCACATCTACTTACACGTACTTCAAAGCAGTAACGTTCATGCATCATTTAAATATTCATTGATCGCAGGTGGAAATTACATAACGGGGTACCTTCACCTTCCCCTGCTAACTGTTCCATAGAAGTTCTCGATAAATGCATCTGATGTTCTCATAGCATTCAAGAAAAATTACATTACTTGTTTGCAACCACTCATGAGTCGTAAGTGCCAAGAAGTACCAATTGCATGGTATTCTTACGTTATAATGATAAAAAACCTCTAGCTTGAGGTCGGCCTAACGTCAAGCTGGACAGCTCACTGGCTGTTGTTGTTGTTGTTGCCCCTTCGCACTGGCACATACCCACTATGGGGGATTGGCCATGAAATCTAGAAGTATCCTATACGAGATATATTAAAAGGTTTATCCTTAATGAAAAAACTAATGATGTAATAGAAAATAATAATTAACTAAAAAGGAATATTAAACTAAACAAATAATTGAAGATTGAATCAAGAAGAGAAAAGGTGAGGTAATACTACAGTGGAAGACAGAAATTTTGAGTAGACCAGACAATCGAGCTTATCTCACCCGGTCACAATCAAATGAATATGCAAATTTCATTCAAAATTAGACAAGTGTCTTCAGAAATATATTTAAGCAGGCATTATTATGACATGCGCTTTGATTCTCGAATGAAATTGCATACAGCATCGAATACGCTCCTGTGGCAATGTCCCAAGCTAAAGGCACCGAAACTTAGAACATTATCTGCAGTTAAATTTAAACCTACTGCTTGAAACGGAACAATTAAAAGTCTTTTCCTAATTAATGAATAGTTTTTACATGTTATAAAGTAATGCTCTATTGTTTCCGTTTCTTCACAGAATGGACACAGGGGGGATATCGCCAGACCAGCTCTGTGCAAGTAAAAGTTTAATGGAGGGACACGACATCGAAATTTGGTTAAAATAACTTCTAACTTTTTAGATTGACTCCACTGAGGTTTCCAGGGGTATGTTAGGTGCTGATAGTCCGTATATTTAGTAATATTTTCCATAATATCCGTATAAATAGCCCATTTTCTATATCTGATCGACACTATGTGTTCCGATTCTGGTAGTACCGAGATCACAGGGCCATCAAGTGTGGCTCGAGATAGTGAATCGGCTATTTCATTCAACCGTATGCCACAGTGTCCCGGGACCCAGACTAACTTCAGGAACTTCACATGAGGTGGAACTAATGTTTGTAATGTCGCTAGAGCTCTTGATTGTTCTGAAGCTGTGAGAGTAGTACACAGCGAAAGAGAATCAGTAATTATCATTGCACTCTCTTCGTTTGAAGGAAGTTTTCGTAGCGCTAAAATAATAGCCAGGAGCTCAGCTTCGAAAACCGGAGTGAAGGTCTGGTAGTCTTACCGAGAATGACCAACCGAGGTAATCTGAGACGATTCCTACTGCTGCCTTTTCTTTATTCACAGAAGCGTCTGTGGCTATTATGTTCTTATTTCCGCATGAGCTATGTAGTCTTCTAACCTGTCATTTAAGTAACTCGAAGATTGAAACTTAGATAGTGGGGGAAAAATTTCATCACATTCTATCGTAATATTGTGATTTAATGCTTTGGTTCCAATACCGATCTGATATCCACCTTTATGCTTTCAAGTTTCTTTTGTACAAAATAATCTGGGGAGTACGAAAGCGTGGCCAGTGAGCGAGGAAGAAGGCGTCGGGGTCACTAATAAAGGCATATGCAGACCGTCTCGCTGATAAGCCGTAAAATTTCAAGTATGTTTGTACTGTTAAGATACGGAATCGGCAAAGAATAGTTGGTATGCGAGCTTCCTGATATAGTACATTAATAGCGACATACCTGGGGAGTCGCAAACACAACCGTAACGCTTCTCGCTCTAATAGAACTAACGGTTTAATTTTGTACGTAGGGCCACCCGAAATAATATACACCCAAATTCGAGTATTGGGCGCATGTACATTTTATATATCATTAATAAGGTGTGTCTACGTAACCCATATTTTCTGTTGCTCAACCTTCGCAATAAGCCTGAAGCTCGTTGTGCCTTTGCCACGTTATAGTCTATGTGAGGGCTCCAGTTAAGTTTCTCGTTATAAATAATGCCCAAATATTTGATAGACTCTACTTGTGGAATCGGTTCCTGATTATAAAGTACTGAAATTTGAATAGAATCTGCTATAGGGAACACCAGGAGCGCACTTTTTACTGATGTTTAGAGACAATGAAATTGAATGCAGCCAAATTTCAAGAGAATACATGTACTTTTGCAATTTTTGATGCAAAGAATAAATGTCACTGTCTGCAACGAAAAATGCAATGTCGTCTGCATAAATGTAGACAGTGATATCTCGTTCAATGGGAATTGAGCTCATCAACACATTGAATAACAGCGGAGATAGGACCGCCCCTTGAGGTACTCCACGTTGCTGTTTGAATTTAGATGAGTGACATCCATCCTTTGCACAATAAAATTCTCTCGATTTTAGAAACTCTGCTACCCAATCAACAATATATCGCGGAAAGTCACATTCGTGTAAAGAATTCAATAAAATTGAGTGCTCAACGCTATCATAAGCTTTAGCTATGTCTAGTGTTACTAGTACCGCGTATTGTCGTCTTTTTCGGGCAAGCTGTATTCGGCTCTCTAAGTCGGCATGAGCACACCAAATTGAGCATTCGCTACGAAAACCTATTTGAAATGGTTTCAATATTAGCTTGTCAGCCATCCAAACTTTATTCTATTATTAAGAACTCTCTCTATAATTTTGATCAGGTGAGATGTTAGAGAGATTGGTCTGATGTTGTCAATGTTAAAACCTGACCCTTGTTTTTTTAATATGGGAATCACTCTAGCTATTTTCCAGTCATGTGGTATCCAGGCATTGCTTAAGGAATAGTTTATAAGGTTGAGGACGTCGCCGGGTGATATCTGGAATAAAATTTTAATCATAGGAACTGTTATACCGTCAGGACCAGGAGCCGAAGAGGGTAAGTTTCTAATTACGCTTGACATTTCGGACAATGTCACTTTTTCGTAGTCAGTCTTTATAGAGGACTTTTGCCAGTTGATTGTCAAAGTCGACGAAAATCTGTTAGCTAAACCTCTTCCGATTGCCTCTAACGAATTAGTCATTTCTTCCGTCGATAACCTGTCATAATCAGAGTTAGCTAGAGACGGCAGAATTTTGCGCGATCTCATATATCGGAATAACGCTTTCTTATTTCTAGGTTTAGAAAGAAAGTCGAAATGTTTTTTGTCATAGTCTTCTTTAGCTTTAGCCACGGTGCGCTTAAATGTAGCAGCAATAAACTTGTAATCTGCCCAATTTTTGGGGGACTGATTATGAATTAGCTGCTTCCAAGCCGCTTGTCGTCGTCTATGATCACGAGAGCACTCAGAATTCCACCACTGACTACAAGGCTTTCTCGTATCAGACTCAATAGAAAAATTCTGCTTTTTTGAACGTTCTTTTAATTACCGCACTTAATTTCATGGCTTTATTTTCATCGTTGTCTTCAGTGGGGGTAGTCAAAGCAACTTCTAGGTCATTTTAAATTTGGAATAATTGATAAAGGTTCGAGCTTGGGAGTAAGATGGAATAATGGGGCAAGAAATTTCAAACAGTACTGGTAAGTGGTCACTGTTGGTGGCGCAGTCTAGAGTAGTCCAAGATACGCTAGAAATACCCGAGCTTATAAAACTCAAATCTAAGACAGAGCGGGATCGGTCTCGGATAAATGTGGGAGTTCTAGCGTTGAGGCATGATAAATTATGGTCTATAGACCAGTCCCACAAGCGTTGTCCACATTGATCAGTCCTAAAACCCCAACTAGTGTGGTGAGAATTAAAATCTCCAACCATAATTTTTTCTGTGCACCACGAACTAACAGCCATGTCTAAACATCGCGTGTCTTGTACACCCAGAGGAAAGTAAAGATTTACCAGAGAGAAGGGAGAGCATCCAGGCAAGGTGATGTCTAAAGCGAAAATTTCACATTCGGGGGATATACTTTTGTACGAAGTTTTGATCTTTGAACTAATTTATTATTGACAAAGAACGCTAAACCTCCACCTTTGGATGGGCGATCCAGGCGAAAAGACCGGAAATTAGGTAGGTAAAACGAATTATGTGCTGACAGCCACGTTTCTTGCAGTGCAATAATGTCTGGATTGAATTTACAAGATAAATACAATAAATCTGTACTAGCTGAATGAATAGATCGGCAGTTCCAATGAAGAATTTGATAGAACCTATCATTTTG